GAGGAGGGGAGGGGGGGAGAAGGTAACACTTTCAAACTGTGGAATCACTCAGCCTGATTACAACGGACAGTCTCTAAATAATTATATCTCTTAGTCCATCTTGCTGCTCAACAATGCATCCAGAGATTCCTGGCTGATAAGTGTTTTTCAAAGGGTGATATCAAATATCAACATTTTGCAGTTTGATTCTTTTTAGCAAGTCTATCCTTCTGCTTTTATACTTTGAACACTTGAGGAGAAACAGTTTTCATTGCTTGCACATTCCACCACTTTTTATGCTGTTTTTGTAGAAGTCAATAGCTTTCATAAAGAAACACTTGTTGCAGTCGAAGAGGAATATTTTTATATCTTTCTGAATATTCCTGTCATTTAAGTAGTTATCTTTAAATGGAAAATGTCTGCCAGAATCCACTGGTAATAAGGGTGTCTGAGTGAGAAGTTGCGTGCCAGACTCTTATTGTTCATCTTTACCCATCATTTTTTTATACAACTATCATATAGGCCTGACAGTTTCACACTTGTTGCATGCACAGGGTCCAAAAGCTTGTAACTAGGTCAGTTCTTGTAACATTATGCCAAAAGCTCCATCAAAATCTTCCTAACTCAATGAAGTTTAGTTGCAATTTTATGTCATCCCAAAAAGAAGTATCTACTGTGGGGGTCCTCCCCCACGGCGTCCACCACGATCACCTCTGGGGCCTCCTCGTGGTCCACCACGAGAGCCCCTTCCAGAAGGTCCTCCATATCTATGGTCCTAAAAGAATTCAAAACAATCATCTTTACCAGATAAATAAACAAATTAACCAGAGGAAATAGAGTTGCCACATTGTTAGTATGCTGTCTTGACAAAAGTTTGCAAAACTTAGCTATCAGTAACTGTCCATCTCAGATGGAACATCCAAATTTATAACTGTTGGCGAATATCATTTTGAATCTGTAGTATGAAACTTCTTTTTACCACACTTAGGCATAAAGCAAGAAAAATAAGAACAGACCTGTTGTCCATATCCCCCTCTTCCACCACGAGGAGGTCCTCCATATCCTCCTCTGCCACGCCTGTTTCCTCTCTCACCAGGTGGGCCCCCTCTACGATTGTAACCATCACCTCTGCGGAATCCACCTCTTCCTCCACGTCCTCCACGGGAAAATCCATTTGAATGATGCACCGTGTCAAAACCTGCTGAATAAAGCCCATCTTAGTATAAATTTCCAGTGAGGAGGAGGGGTACACTTAACCAAAGTTAACTTACAAAGATTATAATTTCTTTCCTAAAGTATTCATCTACGCAGTAAGGTAAATACAAAAATTAATGTATTCCACTTACCAGCATCATCCCCTTGATTACCTGGTGTTCCTTCACCCCCCGGATCTTTCCATCCTTCATCTCTACTAGCATTGTTCTCAGGTGGAGCTTGTTCACTCTGTTTCTCAAGAGCTGGGGGCAGTTCTGCAGGAGCTGGAGGTTTAGATTCAACCTCTGATTCACTGAGGAAGTTCAGACCATGTTCATTTGAGACAAACATTGCTACATTTCCACCATCTTTCACTTTTGTTGCTGTATTGTTTCCACCATTGACTTGAGTATCTGAGGGTCCATTTGCTGATTCTACTGTCTGGCTCTACAAAATAAGAATAATAATAAGACAATGAAATGTTCATTACAAAAGTGACATTTCCAAACTTGCTTTACTTATTACACCTGTAAACCAATAGAGATTATGGTCAACTGCTTTCATAAAATGACCTCAAGGTCCTCACAGTATCCCAAAACTGAGGCATGTGAATTTCACTGTCTCTGGTAAGAAAGAGTAAGAGACAATGTCATTCACAATTTTAAATCCTAATTTTAAAAACTGGACTCAGAACACAAGATTCATTACCATAGAGATTGCCATTTTGTCAAAAAAATCTAATGAAGTTTCTTCAATCAAGATGATTTTAGTTTCTGCTCGAAAAGGTAAAATGCAAATAGAAAGAAAGGCTCACCTGGGTCTCTGTGGTGTTATCATCTCCTGAACCTTCTTGATCTTCATTATTTTCACCCTCAGCGGCAACTTCTTCTTCCTCCTCCTCCTCCTCATCTTTGTCATCATTGCCTTGTGACTGCTCAAAGTAATCACATTTCTTGATTGATGTAACCAGCTCATTGAGTGCTTTGTCTGATCAAAGTTAAGGGAAGATGCCTGATTTAAACAGATCTACGACTTTTCAGAAGGAAGGGTTGATAAAAGATTCTTAAAAAAAATAATGGACAATACATGATCTTTCTGGTGTCAAAGCCTTTTCATTATGCTAACCAAACGGGTTAGGTAGCATTTTTAAGGTCCGTTCAAAAAAGATTTTTGGTCACATTTCTTTATGCAGGATATTTACTTTGTTTGACCTATAGAATTCTGCTACTTTGCACTTTTTTAACTAATAGATTTCTGTGACCTCACGAGATGAAAGCCACTTTAAAGTCATGTCCATGTTGATTCCTGCACCCAAATTGTATTATTAGTTTCACAAGAAGTAAAAATTTTTTAGGATAACAAATACATTCCATGCTGCCCAGCTTCTCAGCAATAGATCTGAGATGATGTCAAAATGCAGTAAGAACAAAAAATGTAGCACACCATGTGCAGCTGACATCTGTTGGTGTGGCGACATGGAATCTACTTGTTTTATATAATGAAGCAAAAAATTTGTTTATGGTGATGTCGTCTATGGGTCTATCCTCTCATAGTTCAAAAGTAGTGACCAATCAAAATGTGTGCAAAATTCAGCTTATTGTATAAGTGATTGCACATTTATGTTCAGAGAATCCCTTGTGGAATCTTCTCTAAGTATTGTTAACTATGGATCTGATGGAGCCTTTCAAGTTTCTGAACAACTCCGCCATTTTTCCCCTTCTCCACATTGTTATTTTCCTCTACTGAGGCAGTCTGAGAATGCCATCTAGCAGTAAAGCCTTATTACTGAACTCCAGATTCCAATAATGCTTCAAGGCTGTTCAAAAACTTCTTTAACTTGTTTAACATGGAATCCTTAAATAAAACCATGACGGATACATGTTGTGTCCACAACTGAGTCCGGGCTTCCCTCAAGAAATTTCACAATGTGAAGACTAGCAGCCATTTGCTGTTCTTTCATTGGTTCCTCAGCATCAGCACTAGGAGTTATCAACTTGTAAAACTCATCAATTTGGACAAAACTCTCCTCCGACACCACCTACAAGATTCAGTTAAAATCAAGGCTCTAAAAAGAACAGAAAACAGACAGGGGTCTGTTTAACTCCTAACGCTGACCAAGACAGAATTTCTCCTCACAACATTAATACAGTACCAAGCAGACAAGTGATGAGAATTAAGAAAAGGATCAATTAAGGGATTATCACTTGATCCATTACAAAATTCTCTGTGCTAACATCATGGGAATCGTATGACAGGCAGTAAGGATATAGAGAGACAGAATCTTGTTAAGAAGAGACCACCCTGTTAACGTCACAATTGTTTGCACAGCTTTAGAAAAGCAAATTTCAAGAAATTACCCATATCCAGTTTTCTTAAATACACAATTGGAATTTAGCATTCAAATGTGTCAAGGGGTTAGCCCCCAGCTACCTATGTCATAGATTTAAGACACGTGCTTGCGTTCATGATTGTAATACCAGATATAAGCATAACTTGAATATCCCAGCTTTTAAGTCAGCTTCTGGGCAATGCACATTTTTATATCGTGCAACGAGTTTCTGGAATTCTCTCCCAGGTGAAGTAAGAGAATGTGTCAATTGGCCAACCTTCAATAGACATTTAAAGGAATTTCTCAGTGGTGTTTTTTAGGATTGAGATGCATTTTAAAGTTTTTGAGTTTTGATTTAGTATTGATTGCAATTAGTTTTTAAAACCCATTTAGTGGAAAACTAATAAAGAGGAGGATTAAATTAGTTTTTTAACCAGTGCAAAGCAAGACCTTTTAATTTAACCACAAACTAAAATGTAAAACAGATTTGCACTTTTAGCTTACCAAAGCACCATTGGTGCCATTTAAAAAGTCCACCCGTACATCTTCTGATAGATTGTCCATCAATGACTGCAACTCCAACACCTGGCACACCTTGGTGATGTCACCATCACGTTGTGCCGCAGCCTGGGCTGCCTGATCACGCTTGGCAAGCTTCTTCTGGAGTTTTTGGTGCTGTAATAAAGTAACACCAAACCTTTAACTCTAATATCATTATGTATTTTCTCTGCAAGGCTGTGCTCTAAGGAAAATTGAATGGAGCCCAGTGTTTTGAAACCGTGAAATCCAGGGTGCCCAGCATATGCTTTGTATGAAAAAAAAAGAGAAATCCTGAGTTGCCCAAGAGCAAAAGTAAGGCGCCAGGGGCCACCAGGCACTGCTAGACCACAGCCTTGTCTCTGTGTTTTTCTTTATAATTTCCAGAGATGCTGACAACAAGAATTTGTTAACAATCAAGATGGTCTTTAGTAGGTGATATTTCCTTATTCTTGCTGGCTTAATGTCTCATTGAGAGGTGATATTGTTAAGATAAATTAGATGCTAGTTCCTTCTTGGCCAGACCAACAGGTTAAGAAAGGCTGGTGTTCTAACTAAAAGTCCTGTTTTTCTTTCAGGCTATACAAGACTCCATGGCGACACCTTCAATAATCAAAGGAGTACCACACGCAATTTGCATTATACATGACATTGAACACATTTCTGTTTAATTACCTCATTACAAATCTGAGTGATGTTCTTCTGCAAATCCCTGGCAAATTCCAAATTTTGTTCAACTTGATTCAACTGACCAACTGCAAGCTGAAAGAACACAATCAGATTCAGGACCCAAACAATCTAATAAGAACCTCTCTACCGTTGAAGACAGTAGAGTAAAAAGTGGGTAATCAAGTTGCAACTGGCTGTTGGTTGGTAGAGTGGGGTAACAACTCTACACCGATAACATTACGCTATTACAACAATTGTCAGTTGAAAGAGGTGCAGAAAAAATTTAGTAATGGTGTTATTACAGGCAACCTTCCTCATTTGCAATGACAACCCAATCCTAAGAGCTCAGCATCGCCAACTATCATACATGAAAGCTTATCAAAAGGAGTCAAATGACACATTGCCACTGGATTGGAGTTGGATGATGTAACAATGACACATTTTTAATGTCAAAAAATGGTCACTAAACTGCTGTCATGCCTCACTCAACTGAAATTATAGTAATTTAAGATACAAGTTCAGACCCTCTAGTACAACCACTCTAGGATAGTGGGATTGTTTTCTGCTGAGCTGGGGAAAAAAATGTTTCAGTCGATGAACTGTTCCAACTGGCATCAAACCATATCAGAAAACTCAAAAAGGCATGAATAGCAATCACGGTCATTTATACAAGCTTTTATAAGAGAGTGACAAGCTCCAGCTGACAGAATCAACATGCATAGATATCGGCACAAACACCGTACATGTCCATGAATACAAAAAGGTGGTGTACATCAATTTTTTTTTCAAATAGATACTTCTAACTAAATGAGTTGAAGGTCTGTATTGTAAGTTACAGGTAGAGTTTTTCAAGTCGGATCTATAGCCCAAGAATGAAGGATCATAAATCAGATCAGAAAAAAAAAAAAAATTAGATGGTAAGGTAAATTACAGTGTGGACTACAATAATGAGGCTAGCAAGATATGAATTATATCTCTAGGTTTAAGTAGACTAGAGGGAAAGGTTGTAATTCAAACAAACTTCACACATACAGACTCATTTGCAACAGTCCTTCCTTTCTAAATTTCTTGAGAATGAAGGGTGCAATGTAATGCAAACTATCCATTGCATTGCCTTCCTTTGACTTGCCACCATGAAGTAGTATTGAAGTTGCTTTTCCCAAGAGTTACTGTGTTTCTAACCACAACAGTTGGAAAAAGGTCTGTTCTGAGACCTCCTCAAATTAAGTTGATTGGGTTGAGCTCAGTAGAACCCAGCCATTTAAAAATAAATTAATTAAAAATATTAGGTCATTGTATAAATTTCCAAAACAATATGCCTGCAAGAAGTTAATACCCTGATAAAATTAATAAATTAATCATAACTTGTTTACAGAGCCAAGAAATATAATGATTTGTCTAATCAAACTAGTAAAACCAAACAGGAGAAATACCAAAATATTTTGTATTGAATTTGTTCCATGAACACTTTGTTTGTGTCTCCGTTAAAATACTTCCCAGATCAGTAAATCAATTCATACTTCACCTGTGATTTGGAGTAATTAACTGAGCAAAACACATCGACTAAAAGCCAGGATAATGCAATAAAACCTTATGTGAAGTCATCATGCATTACGCCAACCGCATGGAGAAATTGTCAGATACGCTAGTGTGGATATTGTAAAGACCTGCCAAGATTTCCTCATTACTAGAACTTCAAATCATCAAGTATGTACATTTTCTGGAGTTTTCCGCGCATCTCTTGCACAGTGAACGATTCATTAAAACTTGAAAAGAAACTTGATCTCGCGTTGAAAGACTTCCTCATTTATCTTAGAGCACACCTGGCAACTTCAATCAGAATTGGACAAATGTCTTACTCCACTCATGCTACGGTACTCGGAGAACTAAAATTCGGTTTTGATAAACGCACCTTTTGATCGTCATTCAGTGATTGTCCCGCATCAACCAGCTTCTTGTAGCCATCAAGCTTTCCCTGTGAACAGAAACAAATAATCCTTGACGTGTTTAAAAAACACAAATATATCTACATCATGGCGTGGTCGAAACGAGTGAATACGATTGCCGATCGATTTGAATTCTACCGAAACCCTACCTTGCGCTTTTCCAAATTACGAACTTTCTTCTCCAACAAGCTCAAGACATTCTTGGTCAGGTCGTTGTTCTCCATTTGCGTTGTGATCTGCATGGAAGATTGCGATGAAGCGCTTGGCATAATTTCCCCACCGATCCGAGTTACAAGCCGACTATGTTCTGTACCATGTGCTCTCTCGCTCGTGCCCTGACGTCATCTGCTTTATTCTCAAGGGGTGCGGTTACTTCGATGGCATCATGGGATACATTAAAAAAATGGCTCTACAGATAGATCAGCTGCATGTAATGTACCATTTTATTTTTGTGCTTTAAAAAAAAAAAAAAGAAAAAAAGAAAAAAAAAAACTGATTTACATGGTTCCAAGCTGTTTTAGTATGCTTGTTGCACGCTTTAGATACAAATCGCTACACACATTCACGCATCTAATCACCAAAACTTTTTGACAACTGCCGCTCGTGACAAACTTATCATGTTAAAAATGCTTGATAACAATCGTTTAAAATATAAGTACGCTCAACATAAAGAGATTTTGACTGAGATTTTTGTAATAAATAAGACAATGAAACCAAATCTAACAGAAATATTTACCAGAAGAAAAAGTTAAATTATTATAGTTAGGAAATTAAAAAAAATAATAAAACCACAAGAGCGTATTCTTTTTGTGTGGCTTGTTACTATTCTAGTTCGAGAACCGTAAGTTAGAAATTAGAGCAAATTCTATATACAGTTGATTGGTATATAGAAAATTCTATACACTGGCCGAGCATCACACACGTTACAAAGAAAGTCGCCAAAACAGCGTTAATCAGGACCGCAAACGACAAAGCGGCTACGGAAAAAAGGTAAGGAGACTTCATACGTTGTATTCCTCGCTTTTATTATCCTTTCTAATTTTTTTCTTCATTTTTATGTCATTTTGCTTTTTGTAAGAGCCCACGCTTACCCTTAAAATTCGATTTTTATTTGTTGTGTATTACCGTTACTGACCTTCACGCTTGGGCCGCCTGATTGCGTGACCCTTAAACTAAAGATTATTCTACAACCAATCACAGAAGAGAAAAGTGCTAGCTTAGGTACTCGCGATCAAAAACTGCTTCGTGTCTCCGCAGCGCGTGGAAAACTAGAATAGGAAAAGCTTACTTCAGGAGAGTCACGATCAGTACTTGCAGGAATAACATTAAAGTGAGCGTAGAGGTTTTTTTTCGCCGGTCACTACGGTGTCATGCAAGGGTCAGGGTTAGGGTTA